GCTGAGCTCTTGTAATTTGTAGCAGGACCCTAGCAATAAATTCCTAGAGAGCTGCTACCACCTCACAAAGCACCGTTTTGAACATTAGAAAAGGATACCCCCTTTAAAAGTACACAATTTCTCAACTTATTGTTGTATAACCAATACAACTATAGATGATGGGGCAAGTATGATTGCTGGTGGCTGCCTCCCCTATCTAGAGTGAAGCAACTCCTCATTTTGTCCTCACATCTCAGGTAGTGCAATGAATGCTAGTATTGGAGTGTACACAGTAGACTCTAGCTACTGTGAATTGAGCATCTTTTTACATTCTAGGCTAGAACACATGAATCTATTGAGAATCAGGCAAAGCCTTGCTGTGAGGATCATGTTTTTGACAGTAGTCTGGGATCTTTCTAGAGAGCTTTCCAAAACTTTGGTGTGGAACAGTCTAGTTGCATGCACGCATGAACCCCTGTACCTGTTGTTGAATTCTTTGACACTCAGCTTTCTAGCACTAGAACAAACACTTGGTCAGCACATTCACCCTGCTTGCTTACTTCTATCCCCCTAGATAAGATGAACTTATTATTTTCAGAGTCAGGCGAGAGATGTGACCACATCGGGCTCCTGGAGCATCCTTCTGACAGGTTGCAGCCACATGCCCTTGTGTGTGCAGTTGAGCATGCCTGTCTTCTCTTCAACTTTCACGCATGATTGTGTGTTGGAAGGGTTTTATGAAGGAAGGGCTCTCCTAGCTAGTCCAAGACTCAATAAAGATGCCTGAAAGCCACGTCATCCATGTGCTCTCAGATAAATTAGCAAATGTTAGCAATTTGAATGATGTCTCATTGGGGAAGACCCTCTAAGGCACAATCTCAATTACTATTCAGAGTAGCCCATCTTCTGTCAATGTACACTGACTTTCCCTTGCCCACAGGTTTAAGAATTAACTCATTATAAATCTCTTCTCAGTGCTTTATGATCTTATCCCTGGGTAGCTCTAAAGCCTTACTGCTCACCATGCTCATCTGCGTAGGCCTACCTTTGCCTTCAGATCTTAAGCTGCAGATATATTGAACTATGTGCATTCAGTAGGTGTTTAGGATGTTGATGACCCCTTGCTTTTGCTCATGCTGTTCCCTTTTGCCAAGAATGTCCTTCTATACCAATTTCTCCAGCAAACAGCCACTTATCATTCAAGACCCAACAGTTACTGCCAGGAAAGACCAAGTATTCTGTCTTATCTCCCTTCCCCAATCAAAGTGTTGACTTCTGGCTTTATATTCCTGTTGTAGTTTGTTCAAGAAATGTTTTCTATGGCTATTTTGATTTATATTTGTTTTCTTCTGTGCTCATTGGGAATTAATGAAATGGCACAGCATTTAGAATTTTTCAGGTGCCAAGGAAGAAAAAAACTCAATGCAACAAGCAAGACAGGAGCTAGTCCAGTATTTACTTCAACATTTTTGACATTTCTCCCTTTTCATATTAGCAGTGCCCTTTAAAACCCAGATTTCCACTTGCTTTCTGTTCCTTTCACATGCAGCGAATGATGGGCTGTTTTCCTGAGCCACACTGTCAGCTGGGGTATGTTTTGTCTGTTTGTTTAAGTGTGAATCTCAGCACTGATGGCAGCAGCCATTGGAATGCTCAGGATTAACTCAGAGCCTCCCTGGGAGATCTGCCACAGGGCAACAGAAAGTCTAATATTAATAATTTTTTTAAAAAGTTGATACTGTAGTAGAATTTTTTTGTTTCATATCAATTTCTGGTCTCTTTGATCTTTATGCACAATTCCCTTTGAAGCAAAACTGCCATGGAAGGCAAAAGACATTGCGATCATTATCACTAATGATAAAGATGCCGAAATTTCTCTATAAAATAATTGTTTTATGTGCTTAGTAAAAGAGAATAGCTAATTAAAAGAAGGCCATCAACACAGGCTTACCATGTATCTTTGCAAAAAGTGTAGACATCTTTTGAATGTAAAGAAAGTCTGGCTACTCAAAGAGTAAAGATTACCTTTTAGTCTATAGAAAGCTTAATTCTCTATTGGGAAAGGGCTCTTAGCCAGAAAAGACTTCAAATAAAACACTGCATTACACTGAAAGTAACAGTCTTTCATGTCCAAACGGGATCTTTGGCCTGTCCTTCAAATAGGGAAGGAACAGATTAATAGAGCCTGTCACCAAATTCATAAAGAGATAAAAATTGTATGAACAAAAATGATAAAGAAAGCAACAGTGTCTATCAGTCTACCTGTTTCACAGGTAAAGACTGTGTTTTATTTCTCTTTGTTTGTCTATGTTCTGGCATAGTGGAAGAATTCAATGAATGTTTCTTGAAGGAATATAGACATGTTATCTATGTTTGCACATGACTCTTTACTATTTTATTTATGGCATGGGAAATGGGAATTAAACAAGAAAATGCATTATTTTTGCTTCATTACCTACCTGGTCACATCAGATGCTTTTCCCCTATTGCACTCTTTGATGGTAGGATCACCAACAGGTATACATATAGTAATGACTTTGTATTACGCAAGAAAAAATACTGCCTTTGTACTTGAATATTGCAACTGAGATTGGCATCTAGGAAGCCAGGAGAGATGTAGACCTGAACTGACTTACATTTACTGCTTAAGTTTTTGGTCAGCAGAATACTAAATAAGGAACATGCACATTCTTCTATCTCAAAGCCTCAGAGATGCATTCACTTATGAAATATTTATTGAACACCTACTATGTGTGCACTAGGCTATGAGTTGGATACCCAGGATATATACTTTAGTTGTAAACAAATGAACATCATCCCTGCTGTCAAATAACATTCTCAATGCTTACACATTTTTATATAAAGAGTGATAGAAAAGTAAGGATCTCTGTTTTTACCAACTATTTTCATCATTAGTGAAAATATTGAAAGTTTGTAGACCATTGGTTTCCTTCAACATAATTGTTAAGTGCTATACTCAAAAACTGATTTATTCATATTGCTTGTGTTATATAAATTTAAAAATTAGATATGCAGACCATAAAAATAAGTTGGCTGATGATAATGTCATGTAAAATATTTTTTCCTTATAGGTCTCTGACAGGGCATATCTAAGTAACATTTAATGTCTTCCTAGAGAATTACAAATCAAAAATCAATTAATGTTTAAATACACTATCTTTGTATTTTTATTTACTTTTTCTTTATAGCAGAACTTACAATGATTAATACTGTAGCACTATGCATGATTCAGAGACAATTAGCATTATTTAAAAATGAAGCCCTAAGAAAGTAGAAAAAAAAAGTAACATTGAAAAATAGACAAACATGTTTAATTCAATGCCACTGTTATCTCTTTGTAACAGTTTATCGGATTGTGTGAAAGGGCACCAACCACCTCTTTTCAGGTTCTTTTCATTATAAATCACCAGCACATTCCTCAGATAAACAGGCTCCCTACTGCAGCCACATTCATATGCAGCTGGAGAATTGCATCTCTACAGTCAAAGTTCTCCATTCAGGGATGATGAGTGATGTGTCAACTATAAACAAGCATGTGTAACCCTCTCCGTAGGCAACCTGCTCACCAATGTTTTATTAATCGATGCATTAATAGAATCTCAGAGGTTTGCAGTGAATATAATCCCTGGAATATTTGAACTCAAAGCATTTCTGTACTCTGCATATGCTAATATGTATTTTCGTCCACTCTTTGCTTTGCTCGGGGACTTGGTGTTGGAAATGAAATGCACTTTTAGTCAATGTAAAAGTAGTTTACCCAGGGAAAGGAAAGGGTCTATCTGGGAGATAAAATGCCAGAAACCATACATACTCTTTCCCAGAAATAAATCCTTAAGTTACTGAAGGGTTTCGGAGAGTGCTCAAATCCTGCACACTCAATCAATCTGGAGCAAAGTTAGCGTTAGTCCTAGTGTGTGCAATTTGATTATGATTCAGTAATTTTTCAGCTGTCAGTATTATAGGCAACAAAAGGCATAACCCTTGCTCTTAGATTGCCATTTTCAGTTGGGTAAACAAACAGAAGCTGTAGCTATATTGGCATTTTTGGTAGGAGATATGCCATTGCATGACTGTAATTCTTTTACTAGAGAAAAAGGGTATTTTCCCCCACAAGTCTTAGGAAGCTATTATGAGTAGCTCATCATTTCAAACCCAATCATTTTTAGTGGATCTACCTTAAAATTTATTTTCCTTGTAGCCTTCCATGTTACTCCACTGTAAGGGGTTCCTTCATTTGCTAAATTCCCATATACTTTGTGCTATGTTTATCATGAGGATCATATTTTGTCTTGTGTTTTACTTGCAAAGTTTTTAAATTGAAAATTATTCTTACTTTCCTATTAGTTTGTAAACTACTATATATCAAGGACCATATTCTAGATATTGTTGTATATTCCACAGTGCCTCAGACACAGTTGTCAAAAGTTGGTTAAATAATAAATTCCAAGTAGCATGCAAGTTTTAGAAAGATTGATAAGGAGATTGAAAGCATAATTTGGAAATTTCATTCGGAGAACAAAGATCGCCAAAAAAATCTGTCATTTTCAAGATGATACTATACTAGGTCAAAATTCAACTTCGGCCCTAAATAAATTTCACTCAAATATCTCTGATCTGACTTTGTGATGCTGAATTGTTGGTTGATTTTTTACAGGAAGAAAAACATAAATTAAAACTGGAAAATTTGAGAGCATTTAGAGAAAAAATAATTAGAATACATGTTATGGGTCTGAGAGGGATTCGGAGGAATGGAAAACAACACATCAAATGACAGGTTAAGTTCCTTCAAAGCATGAAGGACGGGGCAGAATAGAGGAGGCCAGACTTATGCACTAAGATTTAAAGTTAAGGAGAAGAGTTCTTCTTTCCTTCAAATTTTCTGAGTTTAAGGCTTTTTGAAATCCCACAATGTGTGTGAAATTTTAAACAACCAAAACTTTAGGTCAAATAGTGGGAATTAATTGATAAGACCCTCTTATATAAACCTATTTTATTAATAGATAAAATGAAAACACCCAAGAACCCCGAGTAACTATGATGAAGAGAGGGACATTGCCAGTTGGCATGTTGGAGCTGAGAAACGGATGGTGATGAAGCCAAAAGGAGAAGGGCCCACTTCACTATTTGACCTTGGACCAAAAAAACTAAGTAAGGTAAATTAAAAAATAAAAATCACATCTCCTATTCATCTCCTATTTTCTTTATCTTCTGAATTTAGAGGAAAATGATTTTTATGAGGTAGGCAAACAGATTATGCTAAACTTTGGTGATTGCTGGTAATTTACTTCCCATCAATAGTATTCACTTGGTTGAGTGACTCAATATAGAATATATTGAAGATTTATTTGCTTCCCTTCAAAGTCAATCTTTATTTTCCTAAGCATCAAAGTGCACAGGATTTTCATGGTATGTGTGTGTCTGTGTGTGCATGTGCACATGTGTGTGTTGCCATTTCAGCTGCTTCAGCATCCTCAAGTTCCTTACCCTCATTACAAAGCCTCTGAATTAGAGCCTCCCCAAATTCCCTGGGATCCAGCTTTGTCCTTTACCTCTTCAAAGCTGCAAAATCTAATAGAAGTTTCGGGTTTGTCACATAAACAGAATGTAGAAACTGGGTTTGTCAAAAGCTTTCTCTCTAGCTCTGGACAAAATGGTGAAGGGGTAGAAATGGAGGAATACCATTTTTAGGAGGATATTTTTACTGACTAGCAATATGACCCATCGAATGGCTATTATTAATAATTTCCTAGATGTATGAAGTGCCTTTTTAATATAATTTCAGAGTATTCTGCATAGTGAATTAACTCTTCTATTTCCTGGTGAGAAAGAACTATATCATCTATTGCTAAGTAGAGAGTGAGAGAGGGACTGAGAGAGAGAGAAAGAGTAAAGCAAATTGCTCAAGATGGTAGTTGGTAGTAATAAATATAGAATTGGGATTTAGGAAGACTTTACCATTAAAAGACTTGCTCAAACAAGTCTACAAAACAGAACACATGTCACACACATCTTTACCAAAATATCACTTTTATCGTTCACATATTCCTGGTGACTATTCCTATGACATGGTCACTAGGAGAAGTCAGGTACAGATAATAGACTGTTACTGGATTTACCCTCCTGCTGAAAATAACTAGAAAATTGGAGAAAAAATATGAAGCAAACTATGATCTTTGAGAGAAAAAAAACACATGAGGGAAACCCCATGGTTATCCCATAGATTCCCCAGTATTCTGCACAGGGTACTTTCCTGCCATGGAGCAGTGGCAGTCTTTCTGACTTGAGGAGGCAGGGATTATTTAATAGAATTCTAAGCTGCTAAAGTGGTCGCTATTTGTGGGGCAGTGAGCTGCATGGAGTTGGTGGGCAGATCTGATTGGTTATCCACAGGGTGAGACTCAGTGAGGCCTGGCAGACATATCTGAAAGAGATTAGAGTTCCAGGCCAGCCAGAGTGCAGAGATCAAACTAGGCACTTTGTGCTTTTTTATTAAAACGTTAGAAAGACTGGTTCTATTCTATTAGTAAAGGCCAAGCTCTGGAATTAGGGGCATGTCACAGGACTAAGTATAAAACAGACCTGCCCTTATAAAGAAAGAAATTAAGTCTAACAAAAGTAAAATGATCCACCAGTATTTATTTACGTGCCACTTAGGACAAAACTCAAACTCTTAAAGAAAGATGACATAATTCAGAATGCCTACATTCTATAATAACCAGCATACACGTATAAATTGCTTGACGTATAAGAAAACAGAAAAACAGCACTCAGAGTAAAGAGAGAAAGCATTATTTGAAATAAGACCTGAAATGGTGCATATTTTGGAATTAACAGACAAGAACTTGGACTATTATAAATATGTTAGAAAACATAAGAAAATGAATGAATAGATGGGGAATCTCAGCAGAGAAGGGAAACTATAAAAATACTATATGGAGATTCTAGAACTCAGAAGTACAATATTAAAATAAAGATTTAGGAGGCAACAGATTGGAGAGGCAAAATAGTAAACGTAAAAATGGACCAAAAGAAATTATCCAATCCAATCAGAGAGAAAAAGAGATGGAAAAGAAATTCAACAAATCTTCAGTGTACAGTTGGACAATATTTAGTAGTCTAACACATGTAAATTTAATGTTTCAGAAGGAGAGAAGAAAGAATGAAAGAAAATACTTGAAGTAATGGCCAGAAAATCCCCCAAATTTGGTGATAAACATAAGATTACAAAACCAAGGAGCTCAGCAATTCTTAAGCAGGATAAATATAAATAAAACCATATGTAGTTAAATCATACCCAAATTGATAAAACCAAAGGTAAAGGAAAACCCTTGAAAACAATCAGAATAAAGCAGCACATATATGTAATGTGACCACAATATGAATGATAGCTGACTTATTGTCGGAAAAAATAACAGCCATAAGTTAATGAAATGGCATCTTTGAAGTTCTGTGGAAAAATTGGTCAAGCATCACAGAATTCTCTATCCAGTTAAGCTACACTTTAAGAAGGTGAAATAAAGACTTTTTAAAGACAATTAGAACAGACATTTCATAATTAGTAGACTTACACAATCAGAAATGCTAGAGGAGGGCCGGGCGCGGTGGCTCATGTCTGTAATCCCAGCACTTTGGGAGGCCAAGGTGGGTGGATCACTTGAGGTCAGGAGTTCGAGACCAGCTTGGCCAACATGGTGAAACCCCGTCTTTACTAAAAAATACAAAAATTAGCTGGTGGTGGGCTACTTAGGAGGCCGAGGCAGGGGAATCACTTGAACACAGGAGGTGCAGGTTGCAGTGAGCCAAGATTGCGCCGTTGGACTCCAGTCCAGGGCCACAGAAGTGAAACTCCATCTCAAAAACCAAAAACAAACAAACAAACAAAAGAAATGCTACAGGAATTACTTCAAAGTAAGAGGAAACAACACCAGATGGAAAATCAAACCTATGAGAAGGAATGAACAGTACCAAAATGGCTAATATGTGGGTTAATATAAAAGAAAATCTGTAAGTCTAGACATTAGATATTGTTAGCTTAATTTCATAAAAGCTATATTTGTCACAATTTTTTTTTAAAAGTAAGAAAAGTTCCACTACCATTTTGTTTATTTTATGGTTTGATTTCACTTCTCTCTATGTACATATGTTTGCCTTCATCCTATATCCTGTTTGCTGGAAACCCCCTTGGGCCTTCTAGAAACTTCTACTAAAAGAGCCATCCCCATAATTCAACAGTCATGTTTCTGAAAGTAGCATTTGAGAGAATATTTTTCTTTAACTTTATTGCTGCTAATAGATTTAGTCAAAGCTTAAACCTAGCTGGCACACACTGGTACAGCCATACCAGTTGTTAAAATATTTAAATGTTTCCTTCCAGTTGGTGAATAGCCAGTCCTACCAAGCCCTTTGAGCATTCCTCCACCTTCCTGGCTATTCTGGTCCCCTCTCTGGTATATCTCCACCTACCCCCTCCCATCCTTAGCCACCAAATTTCCTCATGACCCAGCAACTAAAGTGTTAGATTCTGGCACAGTAGGGTCTTTAGGTTCCACTTCCACAGTTATGATTACTGCCCATTCGGATAACTTGATAGTAGTTGTTATGCCTTTTGAATATCATCTCTGGATTGACTTGCTAAATAAGATGTTCAACACTTGGGAAAAGTTTCACTTTTAAGCAAAATCCCAATCAGCTAAAACAGAGTTGAATTTTCCCTTTTGGTCTGACAGATAAGCATCCATTTCCTTTTTTTTTTTTTTTTTGTTTCCTGGAAACCACACCACAGTTATTCTTTGGGAACCAACACATATGTTTCTAAAGTGAGGTGAATTCATTCCTGGCTTGATGGGTGGCTTGGCAACACAACTGATAAACAGAGTCAAGTGTCCCTGGCTATTGCAGTTGATTGAGGAATGAGCCTGTCACCAAATCATTGCCAAGAAGGATGATTTAAGAACATTTTTCAGAACTACCAGGAGAAAAACATCCTCTCTCTGGTAGAGTGGCTTAAAAGAATGCATGTAAGCTCTTGTAAGTATGGGAGCTGCTAGTGGCCATCTTACCACCATGAGACAAATGCCTGTCTGAGAATAAACACACAGAATTGCAGAGTCAAGGAATGTGAATATAGTGAGATCCGCACTGCTTAATCCAGCTAAAATTTCCCAGTAACATGAGATAATAAATTCCCTTTTTGTTTTGCTAAAGCCAGTTTGAAATTGGTTTTATATAACTTGCCATTAAAAGATTCCTAAATAACCTCTCTCTGTCTTTCCAATACCCTTCACATTAAAGATAATAAAATTTATTGGGCACCTACTATGTGCTAAAACTATGGTTAATGTTCTACATAGATTATTTTATTTAATCCCATAACTTTTATCCCATTTATACCCTTACACAGATGCCATCTCAGATGGCCACAGGCTTCATGATGGCTCCCACTGTGCTACTGTATTAATGACAGGTCTTTCCAGAAATACAATGACTCCAGAGTCATCTTTTCTTTATGCTATTATCAGGAGTCCCATCTTCTCAATTCTCTTACCACAATCAAGTCACCTGATATATTAAACCATCAGTTTTGGCACATTAATGCAAGTTAATTTGTTATCTACTTAGGGATGATCAAATTTTTGAATGGCCTAAAACACAGGGTTAAAACAATAAAGAGAGAAACATTTTTAATCATGGAATTTTCGATACCTTTGTGTACAGATGGTAAAGTATCAAGGCCTAATTGATGTTCTTCAAGTTATAGCACGTATGTACCCCATACTCAAATAGGAGTCAACTTGTACATATCAGATACTATGAGATTTCAGGCTTAGAATAATCCTGATCGCATCAGATAGATAATTAAATGCCATTGATAAGTTAAACCTGGCATAATGGAACTCTCCTATCATTTAAGTGACCTTAGAACATATGTTTTCAGTTCTGCCTAGCTGGAACACTTTGTGGACAATCATTAGTATGCTGTAGTTGGCTGGTATGATCTCTCAATTACACATATCTCTTCCCAAGTCTGTGTTCAGTGTCACCATGCTGGCAGCTTAAAATTGGCCATGGTGAGAGCGTTTACATCACAGAAATCAGCAAACACTAAAAATCAGTCCCTCCATAAGTTCTCAAGGTTTGATTGTTAAATATTTACCAGCACACCACTGGTGGTAAATTTAACAATGCTCTTATAAAATCCATTCCTAGAAAATCAAATAGAAATAGCCTGGGAAAGCAATATGGTATAATGCCTTAGATCAGAGATTTTCTAACTGCAGATCAAATTTTCACAACCTATTCAAGTGTCATGATCCATATTAGCAAATTGCAATGAGCATTTTAAAAGGAAATAGAAGAGTTTAAAATATGATAAAAATATCAAAATATGAATATAAGGCATTTATGTAGAAAGGGTGAATATTATTTTCTAAAACATTTTGGTGTGTATGCATGTGTATATGAATATTTATTCTGGGTTACAATGTAAAATAATTTCTCACTGGGACATGTTAAAAAAACATTTTGAAAGCCACTGTGTTAGGGTGTGGCCTCTTTAGTGAAATGTTTGAATCTACTTCATGACGTCAGCACATGGCCACCTCTTTGTGTCTCATTTTACATACGTGTAAAATGAAGACAAGAATAATACCTATTTTATGGTTTTTTAGGATTAAATGAAACAAAATATAACATTAGCTCCATAACTGTCAGCTATTATTAAAATTGTTGGAGAGAGGATAATTTATCAATGACTCCAGTGAAATTGGGGGTGTTCTGTACTCTCCACGTGATCCCCATCAGCTAGCATTCTGCCTTTCTTCTCATTGAGGTGTAAGGTGATGTGTGATATTGGGGAACTGCTGGCTGTGCGGATGATACAAGGAGGGAATCAAAGTTCCAAGATGTCTAGTAAATTCTGGATTGTTCAGTGTTTATGGGTGCTAAATACCATAATATGCCAGGAGAAGATGGAAAGTCATCATCTCCTTCTCTGCAAAAAGACACATGTGCTCACACCTAGTT